GGACATAAATATTAGGGACTGATAGATGTCAAAATTGACAAATTAAAAAAGAAGCTACAGGTGGGTTAAAAAAACTGAACTTTTTCCAAACAGTAACAGTGAGCTGTCAGTCAGCCTTTGATTTATTTATTTTTTGTTTAAAAAATATATATATATATAGTTAGAAGCTGCTAAGCTTTACTTAAAGACTAGAGCTCATCCTCTGTGATTTAAGGTGAATGTAATGGAAAAGTGCATTTTTGTGGAATGACTTTGGCTCAAAAAAATATTTAAGCTGTCACTTTGACTGCAGCGCTGTAATAAGCACTCACTCACAGCAGAGTCAGGAGTATCATCTGACAATCAGCACCTCTGAGCTCCTCCATTTCTAAAATCCCTGCAGCAGCAGCATCTCCAACAGGTGGCTGCAGACCCATTGTGTCCCTATTGTCAGATCTGCTCCTACGCCCTTATCCGCTGCACTCAAAGGAGTCTTCCTGCAATGCTCCATGACTCCTCAGGTCAGAGGTCACCTGTGGCCTCTGGTCTCCAGGACAACAGCCTGGCAGTTCCAGGGACCCTCACCACCCTCTCCTTTAACACAAACACTGAGAAGCAGCTTTTGTCCCCTCTGTGCATCTAAAGAAGTGAATGTTTCAGCCCAAATATCTAAAATCAAGCAGCTATAAGAGAAAAGCAGCAGAAAACAAGAGCTGCAGAAAGACTTGCATTGGTGAAAAAGACTTTTCTCAAATAAACACGTTTGAAATTATGCAAATGTATTTTAAAAATGTTAATTTCCTCCTAAAAGCATCAAACGCTGTCTGCATAAAGTTAGCAGACCTCCCCATCAGGCACCGACACCCCCTCTGATCTGCTGCAGAGCTGCATGTGGAAGCAGATCAGAGAAAACAGAAACTCACCATGCTCTCTGTGCAGGACATTTCCACTGGGGCTCTGCTGCACTTTTCTGCGCTCGCTGCTTGAATGACACTAAAAAAACTAAAAAAAAACAAACGCAAAGACAGGATATTTGCCCCGGACTTCAGGGCCGAACAGCGGACTGGAATCAGCCTGAGATCCCGGAGCAGAGAAGCAGACTGGGGTTGGCTCTTTTCCCTCCCGGACGTTTGAAAAAAGCGAGAGAGGAAAGACTGAAGGCGGCCCCGTTAACTGCGCAGAGACGCCCTTAGAAATAAGGAACCACAGTGACATCTATCGGCTAACAGGGGAAGTGCGAACATTTGGTTTGAGCACACTTTGACCATCCCATTTTTTTTATTATTATTATTATAAACCATCACATACAGTAGACAAGGTTTCGTCATCAGATGTAAACAAACCTGAAAAACTTTGAGGAGCCGACCCAAATTGCTTCCACATTTACAGAACAAATAAAACAAAAAAAAAAAACAAAAAAAATTGAACATAAAAATAAATAAACACAAACAGACCATCCTATTTTACCACATACTGTTTAATAAAACATTTACCAACTGTTACACATAACAAAACTGTTTTGTTCCATTTCAAGCAACACTGAAAAAAATAATGCAACCACTTTTGGCATTTTCTTAATCATATTTAGTTACTTTAACACAATTTTTTATGTCCTACCCTGTTAACATGAAAACAATTGTGTTAAAGTAACTAAATATGATAAAATAAATGCTAAAAACGATTGCATTATTTTTTTCGGTGAAAGCACGAGATTTTTTAAATTGAAATAGAGTTAAAAAGTAATCCAGACATGCAACTTAAATGCAAATTTTATGTTGTACCGAAGAGGATTAGGGCCACTGAAAATAAAAATAAAAAAAGTTAACTGATTCTTAAATTTTATTTCAGTTTAATATTGGAAAAAAGTCACAATTCTGAGAAAAAAGTCAGAATTTTGAAATTTATGTGAGAATTCTATAAAAAAAAATCTTGCAAATTGCATTACAGATCACATTTTCTTAACCTTGAGGGGCAGGCTTTACTCTGGAGGACAGGAAATGCATTTGTATTGGTCAAAAGAGCGAGTTCTGCTATTTGGTTGTAATTGAAGACAATCTGATCTGTAAAACACAGTTTAAAATTATCTGGTTCGAAAAACAAAATATAAAAAAGGAAGAAAAAAAAAGAAAAAATCTGGATTGCATTTTTTTTTTTAATTTACATTTACGTGTGTTCTGCAAGACTTTTCTATTTAAATGTAGCATGAAAATCAGAGGTGGGTAGAGCTCCCAAAAATTCTTCTACTTAAACAAGATTACCACTTCATCGTGTTTTTACTAAAAGTATCTGTCCGACAAATGATTCAAGGTAGAGAAAAAAAGTATTTTATTTTCTATATTACCCCCTGCATTTAAAGACAGGATTCTGTCTTTAAATGCACATTAACATTAATTCAACACACTGTAGTAAACAGATTAATGGAGGCAGAAGATGTCTTTCAGTCATCAATGCTCACATTCAGCGACACACAGGAGCTCTTTCAAGCTGGGCACCATTTCATTCACAACGCCTGTCCCACCAACCAGGAATGAGAATCAGAAATATTTTAAAAATCCCAGGGAGAAAACTTTCTTTACATTACTCCATATGTAATAGAGTGACTGTAGGACCAGTTTGATATAACACAATTTCCAGAGATGGAAAGTAATGAAGTACAAATACTTCGTTAATGTACTCCAGTAGATTTTTCTGATATTTTTACTTTACTTTACTACTTATTTTTATGGCGACTTTTTACTTCTACTCCTTACATTTTAAAAAATTGGCTCGCTACTTTAGTTTTGAATCATTTCAATGGAGTTACCGTTATTATTTTTCACGTCATCAATACCAAATTCAATCTAATTGGATGGGAATCTACGTTGCATTTGACGCACCACTACAAGACGAATCGACAGATTCGGCGGTATTCATTGGCGGCAAATCATTGCAGCTTGGTGGCGGTGGCGTTAGCATAGTAGCATGGATGACGAGATGATTGAAAATGAACACAACGGAGATCTAGAATCCGTGTATCATTCGTTCTTTCTATTTTCAATTGTCAATCAAAAAACAAAAAATAAAAAATTGACTGGTTATTTTGTTTTTTGTTTTTTATGGTTAAACCAAAAACGAAAAAAGGATTTGTTTTTCATATATCAATTCTAAGCTCAGATCTAGAATACGAAATGGAAAAACGGACAGCAACGCAGAGTTTGATTTTAATATTTAATCGGTACAGTTTACGTGACCCGGAAGTTTGGTGGAGCTTTAGCTAAAAAAAACAATTGGCTTACCCCCATAGATATCCATAATAAAGGCTTTATTATGGATATCTATGCTTACCCCCACCACGTTCGATCAAGCTGCACCAGATAAGGCAGTCGGACCTATCAGCCATGGACAGTTACGGTCGAGGATCCAAGCGTGTGACTCTAAAGGAGGAGGACATGACAACGGAGAAAATCAGCAGGATTTTCCAGGTATAACTTTTTTCTTGAAACTTTTCTGTGCACTGTACTTTTAACTAGCAACAACAAACAGCGTTCTAGCGTCGCCATGGTAGCCACTTCATCACCCCACTGCCTCGCAAAGAGCTATTTCCGGGTCACGTAAACTGTACCGATTAAATATTAAAATCAAATTCTGCGTTTTTCCATTTCGTATTCTTGATCTGAGCTTAGAATTGATATATGAAAAACAAATCCTTTTTTCGTTTTTGGTTTAACCATAAAAAACAAAAAACAAAATAACCAGTCAATTTTTTATTTTTTGTTTTTTGATTGACAATTGAAAATAGAAAGAACGAATGATACACGGATTATCTAGTCCTATTGGCAGACATCCATTTAAAATGTAGGCAACGGCATGAAAAAAGTGGTTTCTACTTTTACTTTTATACTTTAAGTAAATTTACAAGCCCATACTTTGTTACTTTTACTTGAGTAAAGAAGTTTAATCAGTACTTCCACCTTTACCAGAGTATTTTTTAACACAAGTATCTGTACTTTTACTCAAGTACGGAAAGTGAGTACTTTTGCCATCTCTGACAATTTCATACAATATATATAATTAGCGGGTCCCCGCTTCATCTCGCCATCAGTTTGGGGGTCCGTAGCCTGGAAAATGTTGAAGACCCCTGACTTATAGCATACATAAAAAAAAGTTTTCCGGCTTAAATACAAGGACCAACATTGATAGAGTATCTATGAATTATGCCTTCTTCAAAGCAACTTTAAAATATGTTAAGCTAGGGCATTTAACATCTTTTCTCTTCTTAGAACTTTTTGGAAACCAAAACCAGCAGCAGATTCCTGGGCAATTTAGGAAAACTTGATTCGTTTATTGAGTTACCCCGTCTCATTTCTATGAGATAATTTTAATTAATTTAAAATTCAACATTAAAGTTATACTTTTAATTAAAGTATATATAGCCATAAATTTGGCTCTAAAATTAGAAAGAGAAATCCTGAAATTTGGATCAGAAAATAAGGAAAACTATACATTTTTATAGGAAAGACTGTTTAAGGTAAGGAAAAAAATTATGCATTACAGAAATACAACCTGAGGCCTGTTTTCCGGGGAAAACGCAGCAGTAAGTTTTGCAGGATTTTCTGACTATCTGTTTAATGATCAACCTTATTAGTCCTAATTTGATATTTCAACATGTTGATATATTAATCTAAAACCGGACTTCTTCCAAGAACATAATTTGAAAAAACAAAACAAAAACGAAACAGATGCTTAGAGGTTTTCATGTGTTAGTGATATGTTAACATGTATTTTTGTATAAATTAGCATCTGAATGTTTTATAAAAACAAAAAAAAACAAAAACAAATAGTAATATTCCAATTACAGCAAAGCTCTGTGCACACAGACACTTTGGACCAAGGACTGAGTTATGAAATTACAAGAAAGTTTCATAAATGAAACAAGGAGAACATTAATAACACAAAATCAACTTTGAAAGAAAGAAAACTGTTCATCTTTGAAACATTTTATTGTAAATTCACTTGGGAAAATGTAAACACATTTGTTCGGTACAAAAAAACTTTCATTTTCCAAATTGTAACAACTGACCTTTGCCTCAAAATATTCCTGCTTCTTATAGCATGATTTCATCACTCAGCCACCAAAGGGAGAATATGTTATTTAGTTGTATTTTTTTATATGTGACCACTCGGATTCCTCTCTCCTTTCACTGGCTCCGTCCATCTGAGCGTGATCCTTTCTTAGCTTTGGCTTTTGCGAGCACTTTAACTGTGGTGGACACTGACTTGGCCCCCTGAAGGTTCTGGGCAGTGCAGGTGTATGTTCCCTGGTCCACATCCCTCACCTCATCCACCTGGAGAACGGACTGAAACTGCTGCTGAGAGGCGTCTCCGCTCACTGGGATCCTCGTCTCTTCTGTGTACAGAGGCCTCCCTATCTGTAAGCAGGATAAACACTCCATTCAACAAGAAACAACTTCAAGCTGAGTTATATGTAGCCTCCTTAATAGGTCAAAATGATCAGATGAGTTTTTTGGATGAAACTTATTTATATTTTAGGTCATTTCTGCAGGTTAAATGATATATTGTTATTTTCTAGTGCAGTAATGAGTAAAATACAAATATTTTATAGGATTTAATTGATGATTTCACCTGTATTGACATTACTTTAATATGACTGGTTTCAGACTTGCTCCCTCTGACTACTTTTGTCCTATTAGTGCTTTGCTGTCTCTGACCTTTCTACTCATTTTTCTCTATGGGAATAAGATGTTCACTCCACCTCAGGTCCAGTTTCATCATGTTATTTTGTTATCAATTAGGGTTTTCCTTCTGGAAATATATGGAAATTACATGGAAATCATTACAAAACAGAACCAGAATTGCACAAAGTTTCTCTTTACGACTGTATAGTTACCTTGTTCTTGCATAGACTGCAGTAATCCTGCTGCCTAGGATGGCAAATATTTCCACTATCAGCATGATACAGGAATTTGTTGTTTCTTTTCAGACAAATAATTTAGTAGTATAGTCAGGTAACCAAGAAATATTAGATTTCCCATTTCATTCTGTCCTTGATTTTTAGCTTTTTCCCTGCTCTTCCTATTATTGGCTCTTGTCTATTAGTCTCAGTCTCATAATGCAGGCCTGTATGCAGTGATAGTGGAGAGGAAAAACTCCCTTTAAACAGGAAGAATCCAGCAGAACCCGGCTCAGTGTCAGCGGCCATCTGCCGAGGTCGACTGGGGGTTCAAGAAGACAGAGGGAGAGATACAAGAGGAACACAGAAGCACTGATCCATAAATACTATGTATGCTTTGTTCCAGGAAAGTAACAAGCAGAAGAGCTATGAGCCACTTTTCATGTCAAGAGTGATGAAAGAGAGCACATCCAGCTAACCACATTAAAACTAACATATCCATATGACAGTTTTATTATTCAGGATACAGTTTTGATATACCCACATGTATAAAATTGCTGGTACGCCTCGTTTAATGAAAGAAAAACCCACAATCACAGAAATAACTTGAATTTCACAAAAGCAATAATAGATAAAGAACGTCTGAAGATGAGAAAATGAAAATCAGAAATTGCTTTTCAACCATGCATCAACAGAGCGGTTTAAAAAATTCAACTTGTGAAACAGGCATGGGGAAAAAAAGACGTTACTCTTAGAAAAGGCTAAAGTTAATGTGACCAAAGGGATATGTCCAATTAAGATGATTAATTTCTACATTAATTTAAAAATAATATTAACTGGTACCGAAATAAAAAAGTAGAAAAGTTTAGTTAAATAATGTTTGTTTTTCTTGCCACAACCATAAATAGTGTAGGTCAGTGGAAAATCTTTAAATCGGATCCCTTACCTGCTGTCCCGGATATTCCCAGTTGAATTCTATGAGCACGTCCCGTTCTCCCGCTGCAGCACAGGTAACACGAAGGTTGTCCCCAACAGTCACTGAGCTTGATGATGCCTTGATCACTGGAGCAGGAGGAGCAATTGGATCTAGTGTTTGGGATAGAAAATAAAAAATCTTCTCATAACTTTAACTTAATGTCAGAGCAGATCTCTGCACCATTTAAACTCATGATGACATGAACTCATCAGCGGTGCTCACAGTTTACATAGATGAGGATGTACTTGGTGGAGCTCTGCCTCAGGTTTCCCAGCAGGGCCACACACTGCATTACTCCTGCGTGATGAAGCTGTGGCCGATGGATGGTGAAGCCCTTCCTGTTGTTAAAGGAGATCTCCGTCCCGTCCACTGGGACCTCCCCCGGGGGGAATTCACGATGCAGAGTGACTTTGGCCTCAGGCGACGTCACCTGGCAGGGCAGGACTGCAGGCCAGTTTCTTCTAAGCTGGATCATTTCATAGTGGTTCGACGATGGGACGAATAATTCTCGTGGATCTGGTTTAATTTCAATTCAATTCAGTTTATTTATATAGCGCCAAATTCATAACACAAGTCATCTCAAGGCACTTTACAGTTCAACCAGATCATACAGTCAAATTGATACAAAGTTTTCTATCTAAGGAAAACCAGCTGATTGCATCGACTCGTTGACTCAAATACAATCCCTCACACTAAGCATGCTAGTAGCGACAGTGGAGACGAAAAACTCCCTTTTAACAGGAAGAAACCTCCAGCAGAACCAGGCTCAGTGTGAGCGGCCATCTGCTGAGGCCGACTTGGGTTCAAGGAGAAAAAAGCAGAGATACAAGAGATACAGCTGTAAAAGGCGGCCCCGTCCAGGAAACACACAGCCATCATTTATGCATCAAAAGATGTGAGAGGCTGATAATGTCAGTCGGATGCAGCTGAAAAACTGGCACAAACTATAGTATAGTACTCTCTACCCTAAATTAGTGTCTCTAATGAAGATGTGTGAAACTGTTTCACTGCGGTGGCATCATTTAATATTATAGGGAAGATTCATTTAGACAGAAATTTATCAGCCTATTTTAACCTAAACTACATTGTGCCCAAATCTCTGTAAGTAATTTATTCTGTTGCTTTTTTATTGTGTTCTTTTTCATCAGATTTAACCGATTCTATGACCATTTGAAGAAAAAGAGGCCCTAAGCATCACACAACCTTTAATCCAATCCAAGGTTTCCAAAGTGCTGCACAAAAAAGATAAAATAACTAAAATAAATAAAAGTAAATAAAATAAAATAAAAGCACTGCCCGCACAGGATAAAAATATGCATGTGTATACATAAAATTAACATGTGTATACATAAAATCAACACTCTACATGGTGTCAAAAGACATACCTAATCTCATATAATAAACAGTTTTACTTCTTTTCTTAAAGGTATGTCATTTTCAAACCTTTGTTATATAGCGCTTTTTCAAGTCAGGAGACCAAAGCGCTTTACACTACATTCAGTCATTCATCCATTACTGCCCACACTGAGTGTGGCTAGCTACATTGTAGCCACAGCTGCCCTGGGGCTCACTGACAGAAACAAGGCTGCCGTACACTCTCGCCACCATCTGACCATCATCAGTAGGCAATGCAGGTGAAGTGTTTTGCCAAAGGACACAACGACTCTGAAAGCCGGCGCCAGAGCTTGAACCGACAACCGTCCAATTGCAGGGCAAACTCCTGCATCCAACGCCACTGTCGCCCCATCCCTAAATAACCGCAAATGGGTTAAAAAAGGAATAACAACGGATAAGATAACATTTTAGATGAAGTTTACTGGAGGTCTGTGATATTTTTAGAACAGGCTTGAGGACGCCCTAACGGGGTCCTTGTAGATCACCTGGCACTAATGGACACCTTGTTGTTGATCTCTTGTTTAGATCAGGGGTTCCTAAATCAGGGTCATGAACCCTCAGGGGGTCGAGAGACATAAAGTGGCGGGTCATAAGACGGCTTTAACAATTATTGTGATATGGTTTCTGAGGTATATGGAGGGCCAAAATATACCCTGAAATACATAAACGTGAATGTAATAAATACACATGAATGTCTTATTTGATCAGTACCTGCAATATTATTAAATATATATTATCAAATATAGCATTGAATTGAAGAAAATAAAACACAATTAAATAATTTGATTTCATGTATAATAAAACATACATTTAATATGTCATTTAAAATGTATAATTAAATTAAAATTAAAATTAATAAAAAAATAAAATGAATATAATGATTCCACTGTGTGTTGGGATCCTGAGGCTTGCCCCCCAGAGGGCGCTGAGGATCCCTTCCTGGGGGTTTGTGCTTCTGTTGGGGTCTGGGGTTCTGTCTACCTTTCCCCACCAGAGGGCGTACTGGATCTCCTGAAGCTGGAGCTGACTTCACCAGCTGTTCCTCATCTGCTCATCAGGAGATCAGCATTTAAGGAGAGGCAGAGCAACACTCCAGCGCCAGAGTGTTTTGCCAGTTATGGAAGAACCTGTCTGAAGTCTGAAACTCAGGAAGAGTTTCTCTGTCTGAAACCAGTCTGTCTGATCACTGAAGAACAGTGATGGGACTAACGGCGTTGAAAGTAACGCCGTTACTAACGCCGTTACCTTGTTTTAGTAACGAGTAATCTAACTAATTACTTTGACTGTAACTATAACGGAGTTACCATTGCAGACACCCCGTTACTGCGCGTTACTCAGGTCGCACAATGAACCTTTTTTCATAATAGGACTCGTGCGCAGCTGCGTGAAGCTGACACCCCACCCACCTTAAAAAACTCTGCAAATAGACTGAATGGTTAGTGCAACGTCAGTGCAGATTTGTGCAGAAAAAAATATTGTTTGTGCTACTTTTGTTTAAGAGATATTAAAGATTATTTTTTTAGGTCATCCAGAGGTGTGCGCCTTGTCATGAGAGAGGGGAGGATGAGAATGGCTGATGAATAGTGAGATTCCGTCTGTCAGTTGGGTAGGTGGGTGTTTCTGCTGGCGGGTGTTAACGTACAGCACACACAGAGAGATGGAGAGTGAGGATGACTCCAGCAGCAAAACAGCGTTTTCCTGATGGAAATACCGGTGTTACGTCGAGCTGCGTTTCCCCATCACAGACGGTTTCCTCTGCATCTCCGCACAGCGCAGGCGGCACGAGTCACCGCGCAGGCGACACGAGTCACCGCGCAAGCGACAGAAAACGCGCATGCTCGCTAAAGGCGCGCAACAGTCACCCTGTGCTCGCGCCACAGGAGAACTATGGAGAGCGTGAACGATCAAATGAACCTGACAACAGCCAGAAACCTGACAACAGCCAGAAACGATAGCCTGTATGGAGAAAGGGAGAAATCTGGATGGATGAATGAATGGATGGATGGATGGATGGATGGATGGATGGATGGATGGATGGATGGATGGATGGATGGATGGATGGATGGATGGATGGATGGAAGGATGGATGGATGATGGATGGATGGATGATGGATGGATGGATGGATGGATGGATGGATGGATGGATGGATGGATACTCTGCCTTCTCAACCTACTGTATTTTTTATTTTAAGCATTATTTGATGGCCTTTGTGGCAGGGATGGAGATCCATATTTTATGTCACACACAGAGTATACATCTAGATAGATAGATGGATAGATAGATGTTGCAGTATCTATAACAACCCAAACACACAGGATTTCAGAATTAGACATCCCCAGTTATTAATTTCACCAGATCTGAATGCCCCGTTAAAAACTTCACATCGCGTTCCCCCCTGATGTCATTTACATTGAGTTGCAATAAATGCAAAACTCTCTGCAGGTTCTTGTCTTTGTCGTCCGCTCTGTTCAGCTGGCTTTGGAAACACACGGCGAGAAGGTGGGGGCTGGGTGGTGAGGGTTACGGGGGCGAGAAACGCAAAAGTAACGCAATAGTTACTTTTACTAGTAACTAGTTACTTTTATTGTGGAGTAACTCAGTTAGTAACTCAGTTACTTTTTGGGAGAAGTAACTAGTAACTATAACTAATTACTTTTTCAAAGTAACGTGCCCAACACTGCTGAAGAACCCTGGAGAATCAAACCTGTCAGATATCTGCCTGCCTGCTCACAGAAGAAACTGAAAGAGAAGTTCAGATCAGAATCAGCAAAATCACTAGCCAAGCTCTGCCTCTGCCCAGCCCTCAACCTGCCAACAGCCTCTGGACCCTCCTGGTTCCCCCCTCTGCCGCTCTGCTCAAACCTCTGAATAGGTACAGACCTGCACTCATTCAATCAGCAAAATTACTTGCGCTTCTGCTAACCGTCCTGTCCCCCTCTGCAGTGAAACCAGTCGTGACCAGTCCTGAACCAGATTATACCCGGAATCAGTTCTTTATTCAAACCTTTTTTTCCAATAAACCTTTGAACTTTTTCCCCAGTCTCCGAGTGTGTTCTGCATTTGGGCTAGTATCCACAACCCAACATGACACTGTGTATTTTAAAATAATAATAATAATAATAGAGTGAAATAATAATATGAATTTTTAGGGGGTTGCTGGTCTGTCACATTGCTATTTCCTGGTCACAGGCTGAAATGTTTAGGAAACCATTTTCTAAATCCTCACTGACTTTTGCAAAAAACTCAGTTTTAGTGTAATTTGACCAACGCACACACTTTCAGTCAAAGTCTCAGCGAACAATGTTTGTGATGGTAGGACAGAAAATGTATTTTCCTATAATCACCCCCAGACAACCAGCCGACATATAGAAAGCATCCGATGGTTGCCATGGAGACTTGATGATGTAGACCCCAAACTTAGGAGATCCTTGATGTTAAGTTACAGTAGCAGTCATTTTAAAAACATTTTTTATTTGACTATTCATCTTTCTTTAGGTTGAGGGAAGTAGCTCTTTTCTTTTAGTATTTCATTCAAACCTTTAAGATTAACACATTTTAAGTAAATTTACTGTAGCTTATTAGCATATTCTCTTGTCTTTCTAATTTGGAAATGTGTTGTTGGCTCCTGTTGTCTCAACATATTTTATAATCCAGGAAAACAGATAAATATGGGTTAATAATTAAAATAAAAAATCCACTGAAAAAGTAAAGAATACACCACAAAGATAATTAATTTTAAGGTAGTAAAAATACTTATATTAAGGCTTCAAAATTATTTTCTTGTGAGATCTCCGTACTGCAATTAAAAACTGAAAACTTTTAGGATTCTTAATACACTTAAGAAAGCCACAACATTAAAACCAAGAAAACACATTTCTGTCTTACCTGGAAAGAAGATGAAGACTTTAACAGCTTTGTTGTACACCCTCCTGCAGTCTCTGTCTTCACGGTACATTGGATAGCAGGTATACTCCCCCGTGTCTGCAACAGTAGTGTTGACTAATGTCAGGGAGCTGAATTTCTCTTGTTGGGTGATCCTGCAGATTAAAAACAGAGACAAAGATTTAACCTAAGTATGCACATTCCACTCTCCTGTCCTCATTTCACATAACAGAAACTGATGAGGATGTGTCTTACATGAGCCTTCCTTCATCCTCATCCTCTTCCACATTAGGAGGGACGCTCCACTGCACAGGTTTGCCCCTGCACCGCAGGCTCAGTGTGTCTCCTGTCTGCACACTCAGAGTCTCTCCAACTTTTTTAAACAAGCCTCTGCCAACAACCTTAATGCAGTCATTTTTTAAAATCTATTTTCTATCAACAGACAAGAGATGCACATCTCCATTGGTAATTGACTGTTTCCTACCTGGGTGAGTGATGCCTTGGTCTGAGCTGCAGCTGTAGGTTTGATCTTTGCTCTATCCGTCTCGGCTCTTTGCCGTTTAATTGTTGTTCTTCCAAGTTTGGGTTTTTTTGTTGTGGATGTCGTCTCTATTTTGGCTTCTGAATGTAAAGGTATATGACAGTTAATACAGTTAAAAGCTGTTTGGTATCATTAATCTGTTATTAATTATATGCCTGATTATTTTATGAGCATTTCTGTTGGCTCATTATTTTACAAAGTGCATAGAAATGACTTACCTAACTCACAGATTACAGCCAAAAGAAAGATAGCGCTCAGCCACAGCCTCCACTTGGACTCGGTTCCCATCAGCAAACGCATGATTGATCTGTTTAGGACCAGCGTGGTGTGTAAGCTCTTAGTGCTGCACAGAGAAACCTCTGCACCAAAACATCAAATTTCCTTCAGCTGAAAAGCAGAGCATTAAGACCATAAATTCCTCAGGAGTCCCTGGACCAATAAGGGCCCAGAGCCTGTTTGTTTAACTGCTGGACTGGAAGAATGCATTGGCAGCAAGAGTCCGGCCCTCACAAATGCTGCACAGTTAAAAACTTTTGGTGCACAGTAGATGCTGTGACCCAATTAAAAACTCAGGCAAAATAAAAAACATATCCGTTTAAAATAAAATGCCTTTTTTGTTGTGTTATTTAACATAGATTTGTTAAAAATGTTTATTCTAATCTAAACATTAATCAACCTGCTCTTGAAACTCTGAACTTATAATGTATGGGGGAACAGGATGATTGTAACACTGTTTGCTTCATCATAAGATAAGGCCTTAAAACCTTTGTACTTAATATGTGTTTACTACAAATAGTATCACCTCTGTATGTCACAGACTCAGTGAGTTAACAGGCCTCCTTTATTACTACCTACCCCCCACCCACTGTAGGTTATAATGCATGCTGAGGTGAACTGTAACAAAAGGCCAAAAACTGCAAAAAATAGAGACGCTGTTGACAAATTTAAAATTTCCAAAAAATGATTTAGGAAATAAAACAACCTGGAAAAACAAACATCTGTTACTATTTATGTCATGATCTGGCCTATTTGCTCTCCCTTAATTAGTAATTCCTTTCACCTGTAGTTTTCCCTCCCTGCCTCAATTATAATTTATTCCTCTCACCTGTTTCCTCTTGGTTATATTCAGTTCAGCCTGAGCATTCAGTGCCAGATCATTATTTGTCTTTCTGTTAGCCTCTCTGTTTTTTTTATTTCATGGTTCATGCCCTGGATCCTGGCGGACAGTGGAAAGAGGGTTTTGTGTCTGTCTCTTCTCCTAATCGTCCACTGTTCCTCCCCCACTGAGTCCTCTGGGTTTTTGGCTCTATATGTGGGGAGGTTCAGTTTTTATCAAAGTAAGCCTGGCTCCAGTGAGGAGACCAGTTTAAAGGTCCTGCATCAAGTTCTGGTTCCACGTCCTGTCTCGGCTACCCTCTTCCACTGAGCCTGCTCATCTGCACCTGATCCTGTCTGCTCCTGTGCGTGACCACCTGGTCACGCTTTCGGACCCTGTCAGACTCTGAACCCTCCTGGGAGCTTGTGGATGCCTGGAAGTCTTGATCCTGCCTCCTGTTTCTGTTCCTGCCTGATCTGGATCCTGTCCCTGTCTGTTCCTGTCTGTTCTGGATCCCTGACCAGGATCGGCTTCCAGCATGTCCTCTGGGACTGCAGCCCTTGGGGACATTCTAGGACTGGACTGTTAAACCAGGTAAGTGGCCAACTAGGATAATCATCTTCTGTCAGATTATCGTGGTCACTTACCTGTGTTTCTCCTGCAGAATGTCTTAGATTGGGCGGTGCCCCGCCCCCCTCCTGCAGTGTCCGCGAGCCACAGCTCTACTTTAGTTTTTGTTTTATTTAATAAACCTTTTGAACCTTCCTACTGACTGTCTCTCCTTGAATACTGGGTCCATCTGTCCTTGGTTCATGACAATTTATGTCTGAATCTCAGAGTATTCAAGCTTAATTGTCACACACACCTAAATCCAGCAGATACTGTTGGAGCAAAGTTTATATGGTTAGATTTTCATATCAAAATCAAAACTAAGTATGTTGATCTGATATAAAAAGAATGGTGTCAGGTTTTGTGGATGTTTGTAGAGGACCCAAATGCAGAGACGGAAGCTGAGGTGGTTTCTTGCAAATTTAATAAGGAAAGGTAGAAACAGAAGCATTGATCTGGAAATAACTAAATAAGGAACACAGGAACCTGTGAAAAAGGGAACACATAGAGGGAGGGGGTGAAGGAATAAAGAGAATCCAACAAACAGTAACTGCAGAGGAGGAGTATATATATACCAAAGAAAGAATGGAGTAATCAATTAATTGGGAGCAGGTGTGGACAGAAGGACCTAGAAGGGAGCTAAGGGGAAACGACACTGACACAAGGGGGCAGCAGAGAGTAACAAGAAATACAACCAAAAAACAACTAGAAAGACACAACACAGAAATGAAACCAGTTAGCTAGAAAATACAGAATGACATGAATCAAAGTGTAACTTAAAAGTCAAATGATGCAATACGATCAATTCAACATTTTTATTCATCAAGTCGTATTGTTGGTTTTCAGGTTTTCTGTAGTTCTTTCTCTTTATTTTCCCTGCATAGCATGCTGTAAATTATTCAAATGAAGATTAGAGTTAAATCCTAATTTTAATTTTTTGCTATATCAGTGAAGGGTGTAACACTTTAATAGTTGCTACAACCTATTGTTTAATTCACTTAGCTTTGCCATTAGGGAACTATTTGAAGAAATATGTCCCAGTATTCGCTTGAGAAGCTTAAATCTTAGGAAGCTTTATAGTCGGTACTCATAAGTACAAATTATATTTTAGCTTTAGTCAAAAATAATTATTTCAGAACCTTTGAATCAGTGCGTTCTTAGTAATATTGGAACACACACCATGTAAATTCAAGCGAGACATAGATAAATACTGAAATAATCATCTCAATTACAACATGGAAGGCGTATTTTCATCAAACAGACTTAATAATCTAATTTTATTTATATTACCGATAACTTTCTATATATTTTTTTAATTCCCTTGTAGAAAGGATTGTTAAAATATTTTATAAATAGCTGAAAGGATTTAAATTTCTCTTAACAAAAAGAATTACCTATAAATTACCTGTATTCAATTTTTTTATTTTTCATATTTGTTACTCACACGCGGTTTATTTCACCTTTTTTTATTGATATAAATTTTTCTAAAATATATTTTTAAAACTTTAATTATTAGAATTTGGCTGATCTTTATAAAACTATAATATATAAATATTATTTTTTATCTTGATTTTTTAGCAGAGCAGAACTATAGTTAAGTTAAAACAAAAAAAAAACTAGAAAAGCACTCAGAGAGCGCAGACATCCACAAAGTAGCTAATTTCCCCTGAGATACACTGACTTCCACCTCAAGTTAATACCTCTGTTCACAGACTCTTTCCAAAAATTCCTAGATCGTGATGGTGATCTGGATCATCACCAAAAATTTAAAGAGGGAAAGGAAATAGAGAAAGGTAGATGAGAAAGGAAGAGGGGAAAAGCATTACTGAGAGAGAAAAATAGAGAGACTAAATTAGAAAAAAGAAGCACAGAGAAAACAGAATTAATCCTAGAAACCTGCTTCCCAACCAGCAGGAAACAAGAGGGAAGAAAAGAAAGAAAGAAAAAAACATCTACCACAACACAAGGAGACGGAGTAAATACATGTATACAAACATCAAAAGCGAAACCTATAAAGATCCCATAGTGTTATTTAGGGCTAAATATAGCTGAAGCTACAGCTTCGTATTAAGAATAACTGTGTGTCTATGAACAGCTGGATCCAAATGCCTGCAGTATCCTTGAGTATATATGATTTAAAAGGTTCCTGCAGCAGGAAGATGTGGTCGGTAGCAGGTGTGAGGGGCCCCAGACCCGCCCCAAGGACCTTAGGGCTGCCAGAGCCCCGGATATCCAAAGGCACCCCAGAATAACCTTAAATTATTAAAGTGAAATATGGCTTGAACCATTTCGTATACAGAATAAATATTTATTGAATGTAAAATGTTAAAGCAGTATTCTTTTTCTCCAAACTAATGCTTTTAGCTCTCAGTCTCACCATAAATCACATTGTTCTTTTCAGCTACTGCTTCTTCTACTAACTACGGTACAAAGAAACTCACCAAAACAACAACTAGTTGATATAGCATTAGCCTGTGGGGGTGTTTAAAAACAACAGCAGTTAATTTTTATTGAACATTCTGTAAAACCACTTCTGTATACTTTAGCTGGTTGTAAATCTGTCGAAAGACTAGAAATCACAGCATATTAAAATTGCACAATATGCTGCATAACAAGAATCTCTGCGATGGTGAAGTTTGAATCTTCATTGCTGCTAAAACAGGTTTGAATCCTGGTTGCGTCAGAAGTGGATCAGGTGTAAAAACTTTTTCAACTTAAAATTGTAATTGTTTGCTACTGTATCCATTAAAGAAGGAAGCAGCCAATAGGATTTACTGGCTGTACACTGTGTGCCTGAGCTGAGATGTTCAACATGGAAAAGAGAAGCTGTTCTGAAAAGTAATTTAGTTAACTGTGGTTAAAAAGACACACTCAAGAAAACAACATTTAAATTTGTTCTTTTATTTTCATACTTTGAGTCAACCCGTGACCATGTAATTCCAGATTACAATCAAAACTTGAGTTTGTTCATTTTAAAATTAAGACGAACATTTACAGAATTAAACAATGTATTATTCCCCCATTAACACATGGAAACACAATTTTTTTTTTTTTTACAATTATGTTTCGACATAATACTATAAAAGGACCAAAAAATATGATGTTACACAAAATGGCGTTTTGTAAATAGTACATCTGCTTCTGCCTAATATTATAAGTTAACAAATCCAAAGGAAAAACAATAAAAACAAAAAGCATTTAGCATATTAACATTATTACTATTACAAAATAGCACCAATTTATACATTTTACTGTTATCATTATTTCAAATGCTTAAGTATTTACAGAATACTTGTAAAAAAAATATTGATTATCAGCTTATTGCATTCATAGTTTTTAATTTTATAATAATTGGGTGAGAGGAGATGTATTTTATTTTTATTTTATTTTTTTTATTTAACCTTAATTTTACCAGGAAGTCCCTTGAGATAAAATCTCTTTTTCGAGGGAGACCTGGCCAAGAGGCAGCAGTACAATAAGACATATAAAAACACATAAAAACAACATAATAAAATCAATCGTATAAACGCACAAATATGTTAAAAGATTTATTTCAATTTCAAATTGCCTTCAAAGCTTCACTCTAATTCCCTTTTAGTAGTTATATTATATTTATCTGATTCTAAATATTGTTATGGTCAAGAACAGTGTTAAACAGTACAAAACGAGTGTTTCTGTGTAAATTGATGTGATAAAGGTGCACTGTGGTAAAAAATGTCCTCCTGTTTGGACATTTCTGGTTCTGTAAAGCTGTTTATGGCACTTTCTGGTATGAAAGGCTGGCGGTAGATTGAAGGATGTAGAACAGCAGGTAGATGTTTAAAGCAGTTACTATATGTAACATCTCAGTGTATTGCTCTTTACTCCCTCTGGGCTCAGAACCTCTCCTCTTTAATTATGTCCATGTCTGTTTTCCTGCTGATCGTGTCGATGTTGATCTGGTCGACCTTGAACCTCTTCCTCTGAACACTGTTACGGAGTCCGTAGCCAAAGTAGATAACTAATCCTAAAGAGAGTGGGGAGTTGAGATCAGCAGCAAGGTTGATACATTTTTTAAACGATTTAAGCTAAAGATAAAATTGGGATCTTACCGATTAACATCCAGATAGCATATCGGACCCATGTGGCAGAACCTAACTGCACCATCAGGTAGACGTTGATGAACGTGCTCAGTAAAGGTAGAGCGGGGAGAAAAGGCACCTAAGATTGAACAGAAAATGAGTTACAAGAAGCTTTTAATCATGCTCTTAACAAAACCTTGATTTTAAGCCTTGGCCTGCTACAGATTCTTATGCTGTTATAAGTTTGATCACAGATGAAACCATTTTGTTTTTTAAATCATATTCCTACTGAATATGAAGCACTAAATGGTTGTACTTTAGGTTTGCACCAAAAAGAAAAACAGTCATCAGATATTTGCAGAAACTGGTTGTGATTTTTTGGGATTGCTGTACAACTCTTGTTGACTTCATTTGAATATACATACTGTATCCTGCCTATGATCATTCCACTCCATCCAGAGTCCTGACTTTGACTAGGCCACCTTAAATCATGAATGTTGTATTTTGTTCCCTTGCATAACCAAAGAGCCTTTAGGTTCCAGGAAATTACATTTGGTGTTTCTCCTCTAAGAGGAGTCTGGAAATTAGGGTTTTTAGCATTGGAACCCTTTTACAGATGCAGCTACGATCTGTATTTTTCTCAATATGGAAACATTGCTGTGGATTTTGAATAACGCAAGTGAACTATGCTTGAGACCAAGAGGATTAGAAATGCCTTTGTTTCAGTTTAAAAAAAATTTAGTTTCATCTGCTGATTCCCATCTGTTCTTTAAAACTGAGTCTCACGTCTTTTACTCTACTTTTTGTTGTTACACAGATTGTAGGAACCAATTATTTTTTGTTAATAATTAAAAATGTTTTTGTGCATAATCTAGCTAAGTTTATTTTATGTTAGTGTTTAAAATCTTTTATGAGATTATGTTTTTTGGTTATAGTCATGTTCCATTGTTTTTGGTTAGTTATGATTATTTTGGTGAATAATTTTTTAGAAATAGGCAGTCAATCGTAGGACCAGCATGCATCTGGGTGGGCGTATGTTTTTTTTTTTTTTACCAGCGCAAGAGAAACATGGAGGAAAATGTTTGCCTTTTTTTGTTTGCTTGCCTGAGGAAAAATAAACTGACAAAACTAAAGGAGTTTACCTGGAACATTTTTTCTTTTGCCTGCGTAAAATAAATCCATGGTGCATCTGTGGCCTTTGTGGATTTCCACTTTTTTTTGTGTCGTCAAACTGGGCCACAACACAGATTACTACTGAAGCTTTTAATTAATCATCTATTGTAGTTCTGGGAGAAATCGGCTGGTGACGGTTCCCTCAACCCAAAGATGCGATCAACAGCCAATTTGGTCGTGTTTTTATACCAACAGGTTATTTTAGATGTGTTTTCCTGGTTATGAATCAAATACTCATTAAAATCTCCAGTTTCTCTGTACTCACATCCATCACCGTCTTAAATGTATTTCTCTGTAGCACTGGGTGGCAAAAACAACTATTTGTTGTTATAATTTTCTGCACCAATTAAGCTGAAGATATTGCAAACAAACCTTCGTAAAAGTGTTCTAGCAGTATTTGTCTGATATCTATTGCTGTGATGCTCTTGCTAACTACCTACCAGCCTGCAGTCTGCTGCTTAACAGACAAGGTAATTAGATTTTGCCTTTTCAACTCCACCAAGCAGTTGCAGTTAGCAGCATTATCTTAGTAAGATGCATGACTAACTCTTAGTCTCTAGGGATTGACTATATATAGTCTGTGTTTTGTAAAAGAGAGAACATTAAGTTCAGCAAAAGGTTGAGGGTAAACAGTGTTGTCTTCTCAATAGCTTTGTTTGCATGGACACAAATAATCAGGGAAGACCAGATAAGATAAACATTTTTCATGTAAACATGTCAGACTGAAGACTTTAATCCAATTCGGAGTGTCATAATCTTCCCTGGTAGCTGACCTTAATTATTCACGTCACTCACCTGCCTAACTCTCTCGGAGTCAGCCCAGGTATCGGGGCCAGATTATTGCTTGATGTTTGTATGTTTGTTTCGTTAGTCTGAGTTATTCCAAGGTTCATGTCCCTGTCCCTGTCCCTGAGGACCAGTGGATTGAGAGGGTTTGGTGTTTGTCTTGTCGTTTCCTGATCGTGTCTTTGCTCTTTCCCGCTGAGCAGTCTCTGTTCCTGTTTTTGCTCGGCAGAAGGAAAGCTAGTTTTAAGTCCAGTAATCCTGGCTCCTAGGTGGAGACCAGTTTAAAGTTTCTGCATTTATCCTGGTACCATGTCTTGTCTCTGTCCCTCAACCACTTAGCGTGCCTGTCTGCATCTGTTTGTTTCCATCTCAGCTTGTTGATTGACTCATCGAACTCTGAACCTGCCTTCACACTCTGGATTACTGGAACCCTGGATCAGTTTGTTCCTTTGTGGCTTGGAACAGACTGACTGGGCTGCGGACTAATGGATTCCAGAACTGTTCTGTCTGATCTATTTCCCCTGACCTGGATCGGTTTCCTCACTAAGGTTGCTGCATCGGGGACACTTTGGGCGGCTCCTCACTGCTGCTCCTTTGGCAGTCCATCAGCTGGATCCTGTCTTCCTCGGAGAGGATGGACTGAACTGTTAAACCAGAGTGTCAGTGTTGGGGGGTCCCCCGTCTCCCCCGTGCAGCCACTGCGGTTTGCAGACCCACAGAAGCCCTCTTCTGTTCCATTATGTGTCTTGAGTTGATAAATGTTTTGAACTTTCCCGCTGTCTGTGTTCATCTACTGTCTCCTGGTCCTTGGTGGGGGAGGTGGCTCTAAATGTAATGTGTGGATAAACATGCCAACCTGCCCTCTACCCCTATAGTGAAGAAGTTTTGGCATAAGGTATAATGTCACCAAGGTCCATAGTGAAAAAAACCCGACATCAATTGAAATGACTGAAGAACCAGAGAAAAATAAATGAGCGGCGCAGCACAAAGTAGCTAAAGATGAGGGTGAGCAGAGAAATATGGTTCTGTTTAAAGAAACAGGCTATTTCTTCTTTTACTATTACAGCGTTTGCGGAAAATGTGCAAAGTGATTGAACGCTTTGTACGTGTATAAAGATGTCATGATCGGATCATTTTACTCAGTGTCCATGTAAACAGAGCTAATATATTCTAAAAAGGAAAGACCCGTTCTCCCTGAGAGTCTGACTTAACTTTGAACCAGTATGATGAAACCAACCTTGAGTTCAGTTGCTCTTACCATAAAGGTTGCCTTTGTGGGATTCTGTGGATGAATCCATATAAAGGCTACAATGAGCAGCAGGATGAAGGAGAAGATGCAAACCAGGACCACGCTCCATGCCTCTGCATTAACCAGAGCGTCTATGGCTTGAGTCAGGGTGAGGCACAGTGCAAGCACACACACAACTGGAAAGATGAATAGGAGAATGATCAAACTTAAAACTAGAAAGGGTACGATACTCCTAAAGAACAGTACGTAAAGAAAAAAAAAGTTTCTTGCACCCCTTACCAGAACTGATAGTCAGGATTGTGACTCTTCTTGATGTGACAGAGTTAGGAGATGACTGACGCCTCAGGAATCCAAACTTGGAGTTGGATTCTTTGATCTGCAGATCTGTGTCCTCAGATGGACCTGCCTGGTACCTTTATATGAACGTAAAAGGAGCCATATGTTCAGAGTTTTAATATTATGCTTTAGCTCTGTACAGTGATCTCAGTGATTTCAGAAGCAGAGATGCACAGAAAAGTGCTCCTGTGATCTTAACTTGTAGTTTTAAAACTCACAAATCCAATTTTCTTGATCTGCACAGATGTTTTTGGAGTAGAAGTTGAACTCAAACTTGGTTATTTTCAGTATCAATCAGGTTTTTAACAATTACGTCAACGAAAGCTCCGGGAAGTAAGAGGCCAACCCTATTTTCTGAGACATGATAAATAATATCTGTGATTCATTCAGATCATGGGAATGAGAGTGCAGGACTCTCTTCCAGAGAGGCAGGTTCTTCTTCAGATCTAACCAAGAGCCTTGGCAGACAGGGGTGCTGCACAAGCTGTGATGAGCTCAGTTATTTCACCCAGACTGATAAGATGACAAATTCTAATGGCTGTGTATTAGTAGTTACTTGAAGTTTTGTAATCATATCTATTCAACAAGAAAAACTCAGCTTCATTCAGCCGGGAACAAGGCTATGCCCAACTGTTGTGTCACGTGACCAAATGAGCTAATTTCATTGGCTAGAAGCTGCTCAACTGCATCGAGGGTCTATTGCTTTGGCTTGAATTCACCAAAAGGATAACACATTTTTTGCAGTTTTTTGCAGGGGTATTTTTACTCGATATAAATACAGTGTAAGGATTTCAATGTGTAGAAAAAATTCAGTGTTTAAAATTCTGTGTTAAAAAAAAAATCTGTGTTTAATATTCGGTGTATAAAAAAAGGACGATTGCAATGAGTTTTTCTTCCATAGGTAAAAGACTTGTTTAGGACGTCTAAGGATAAGCCTACATGATAGCTGCATATGGGAATGTTGGCATACTTTTGGAAGTTTCAGAGAAAACAGAAAGACCTTTAACTAATTTACACATGATGTGAAATCGTATTTCATATCGATTTTAAATGATGAGCCGCCAACTGCAGTGATAAGCTCTGTTTATTTCTGTTAATATGCTTAGAACACCATTATTGTTCTAAAAGAGAAATTAAAAACAACTAAATGTGGTATCTACAGGTCAAACCTTTACAAAGACAAAAATATAAACTTCAAAACAAATAAACATACCTCAGTATCAGGATGCATATGGCTACAAGTGTGTAAGCAAACAGAGTACCAATGGACATCATTTCCACCAGAGCTTCCAGGTCGAACAGAAGAGCCATGATGGCTGAATATAGTAAAGGAAAGAGAAACATAATTTAAGTTGGAGTCATGGTGATAAAAATTGAATGTTTAAGAGCAGCCAGACTTTCTGTACCTGCCACGACTCCAGATGATATGGTAGCTATAGCAGGACTGCCCTTAGCAGTGACCTTGGTCAGAGGCTGGAAAAGCAGCCCGTCTCTTGCCATGGCGAAGAGGACCCGAGGCATGGGGAACATGGAGCCCAGCAGACTGCAGAGGACAGTGCAAACAGGGTCAAACAACAACATGACTCTGGCTGTTTGTGCCTCACAAACAGGCAAACAGAAAGACTGATTATTGGGATTGATCATGCTGGATTTACATAAAAGTTACTTAGTCAGCGTTCTTTATCTTGACCACTGAGGTGACTGATATGAACAGTGGCCCTCTTGCTTTGGATCCAAGGCCCAAAGTTGTTTAGACACTCGCTACGGGCCATTTTAGGGGTTCATTAGGTTTTTGATTTTGTGTTTTGTTGTTTTGAACTTTCTCCTTATTCACTGAAATGTTGCATTGTTTAGTTTACCTCTCAGGGCTCATCATTTACTGAGGTTTGTTTCCTGTTTGAGTAATTCTTTTAACTCTTTCATTATGAGTTATTCTTTTTAACTCCACTCTCAGCCACTGTCACCACGTTTTATTGTTTAACTGTTTTCACCTGGTTTTCATAAAGCTTTTAATCTACTACGTGTATCTATTGGCATAGGTTTTAGTTGGTTTTTCTAAAAGAGCTTTTAAGTTTATTTTGCAAAACTATTCTGTTCATATCTTCCCCAGCTAATGTTTTCTAAAGTTTATTTTTGCCCTTTTAATCAAAACTTTTTTTTTCTAATCTTGCTTGTCTGCATATTGATCTACAAGAACCACATTTTGACTTAATGTTTTTCTAATTTCTTTAGTATAATTTTCTATCTTCTGTCACTGTTAATAATATTCGAAAAACACTTTAAAAAAAAGCCTCGTAAATGCATAATATCAATCACTGAAATACCAAAAATATTCCACCTGTCTTCTGAAATCAGAGTTATGTCTTTGAATCTGCTCCTAAAATTAAAATTTGGAATCCCAGTCCAACAGGCTCACTAACATTAGCTAACTAGCAAGCTATAGACAGGGATGGTACTTTTCCGTCTCTTATTTTTTCCTTTCTTTCTGCATAAATCAGGGTGAGAAACAGATTTCTAATGTAAAAATTCTTCCGTTTTCTAACATGTTGAACTCATCTGGTCAGGTTTCCAAGGGCAGATTCATCACCATCAAACTAGGCTGTTGATGCATTTAATCAGCAACCGCTGCATGAATGTCTAACCTAAACATCTCCCTAATTTAGGAAAATTCTTGCCTATTTTGCAAACCCAAATGGAAAAGCAAATGACATAGGAACTGTGAGCCCAAATTACATGTGTGATACTTTATTTGAAAACAGCTTCTGGTTTCTGCATATATAAGTAAAAATTGGGTGAGTAACACAGCCCAACCGCATCAGTTCAACCATGACTCAAAGCTGATGTTTGTATTAAAAAATAATAGGCATTTTTTGAACACCAGTAATAAAAACATGCTTGCTTGTTGTGGCTGCTTTTTCATGTTTACATTTTGACATGCTGCTATATCTATTTTAATTGTACTTATGTATTCACTATGTTCAGAAGAGAATTAGGGCCACTGGGGAAAAAAATTAACTAATTTTTAAATTTTATTAGTAAGAGAGTTTAGTAAGAGAAAAAAGTCAGAATTCTGAGAAAACAGTCAGAATTCTGAGATTAAAGTCAGAATTCTTTTATCTTATTCTTTAATCTAAAAGCACAAACACTGCATTGCACTTAGTTTGCAATTTTGTAACACACATTTTGCAAAACTGTGGGCACAATCCACTGCACAACACTCTGTTACCAAATTTCCAACACACTCCTAGCAAAATTATACACATGTATGGCTATCATTAACACTATTTTGCCAACTGTCTGGCACACTTTTACATGTGAAAACTGTTTTAGATAATTAGTTCACTTTGCAATCAGCCTAAGCACTATAAATAATAATAATTGATAATGACACCATCTTTCAAAATAGGCAATAAGCATTTCTTCATGAAGTTGTGTACTTGCACGCCACAGAATAAGAATGAAACAAATTTACAGAGTTAGCTATAAGCCAAAATGGTGTTCTTCACCATCATGCAACCATAGGCCCATACAACACTGCACACGTTATTGCATTTCTGGACACATTACATGACATGCTCACTGTTCAGAGACCAGAGCATACCCGATATGTCATCATATGGGACAATGTTATCCTCATCAACAGGTAGCCCTTTTACAGACAATGGAGGAGGCATGTGGAGATATTGACCAGGCATCATGTCAGGCCTGGATATGGAATTCAAGGAGATATTTTCCCCGGTGCCTTGGACTGGAGGATGTCGCATGCGATGTGGACGGAATTTTGTGGCCGGACCCAGAAAGACGACATGATGTAGGCTGATTGTTTTTTGTGAAATTACTATTTTGTGTTCTGACTTTGTCTTGGTTTTGATAAGTGTGAATAAACAGCAATACTTGAAATTTGGATCCTTGTATGTTTACATGACACTATGACAAGAGTATGACCTCAAACTGACATCTGTACACAGAGAAAGGGAAAGCCAGATGTGTTTTGTATTCATACCATCAGTGTGTAGTTGGCACATTGTGTACTTAGTAGATGATGGTTTGTGTTTACTGTTTGATACAAAAACACCATTTTTACAAAGGTGTGAAGAGTTAATATAGCTGTGTTCGCTTTTGCAAGAGAACTGCAATGTTTTGATAATTGGGTGAAAGGTTTTCTTATTTGTGTGTAGAGTTTTGCAAAAATAGCCAATAGTTACAAAAAATGTGCTTACAGTTTTTTCTGAATGCTTAAGCGCTAATCGTGATTCTTGTAGCACAATTTCTAAAACTATTAATACGTATAGCAAAACCACTCACTGAGTTTGCAAAACTAAAAGCACAAACACTGCATTGCACTCAGTTTGCAATTTTGTACCACACATTTTGCAAAACTGTAGGCACAATTCACTGCACAACACTCTATTACCAAATTTCCAACACACTCCTAGTAAAATCATACACATGTATGGCTATCATTAACACTATTTTGCCAACTGTCTGGCACACTTTCACATGTGAAAACTGTTTTAGATAATTAGTTCACTTTGCAATCAGCCTAAGCACTATAAATAATAATAATTGATAATGACACCATCTTTCAAAAAAGGGCAATAAGCATTTCTTCATGAAGTCGTGTACTTGCACGCCACAGAATAAGAATGAAACAAATTTACAGAGTTTCTTTCGAGAGAAACATAGAACATGTAAAGCAACTGTGATATGACTATGTGCAGGTAAGCTATAGTGTCAATGGTTCTGAATTTGGAAGTGCATACTGTAGTGCTGTGCATGGGCCTGATGTGATGCATTTGTTTTGTCTTGTCCAGAGAATGATGGAACTAGAAGCAGATGCCATGGGACATGAGCTACTTTTTGTAGATGAAGCTGGTTTTAACCTCAGTAAAACCAGGAGACGTGACAGGAACATTATTGGACATAACCAATACATAACATAACCATGTGTGCAGCTATAAGCCAAAATGGTGTTGTTCACCATCATGCAACCGTAGGCCCATACAGCTCTGCACACATTATTGCATTCCTGGACACCTTACATGACATGCTCACTGTTCAGAGACCAGAGCATACCCAATATGTCATCATATGGGACAATGTTAATTTCCATAGGGCTGCTTTGGTCCGCAACTGGTTTACAGACCACCCATTCTTCATGGCACTCAACCTGCCTCCATACTCTCCATTCTTAAATCCCATTGAGGAGTTCTTCTCTGCCTGGCGCTGGAAAGTGTACGACCGTCATCCTCATCAACAGGTAGCCCTTTTACAGGCAATGGAGGAGGCATGTGGAGATATTGACCAGGCATCATGTCAGGCCTGCATACGGCATTCAAGGAGATATTTTCCCCGGTGCCTTGGACTGGAGGATATCGCATGCGATGTGGACGAAATTTTGTGGCCGGACCCAGGAAGACAACATGATGTAGGCTGATTGTTTTTTTTGTTTTTTGTGAAATTACTATTTTGTGTTCTGACTTTGTCTTGGTTTTGATGAGTGTGAATAAACAGCAATACTTGAAATTTGGAACCTTATATGTTTACATGACACTATGACAAAAGTATGACCTCAAATTGACATCTGTACACAGAGAAAGAGAAAGCCAGATGTGTTTTGTATTCATACCATCAGTGTGTAGTTGGCACATTGTGTGCTTAGTAGATGATGGCTTGTGTTTACTGTTTGATACGAAAACACCATTTTTACAAAGGTGTGAAGAGTTAATCTAGCTGTGTTCGCTTTTGCAAGAGAACTGCAATGTTTTGATAATTGGGTGAAAGGTTTTCTTATTTGTGTTACTTATCTGCTTACTGTTCAGAGACCAGAGCATACAGCACCCGATATGTCATCATATTGGACAATGTTATCCTCATCAACAGGTAGCCCTTTTACAGACAATGGAGGAGGCATGTGGAGATATTGACCAGGCATCATGTCAGGCCTGGATACGGCATTCAAGGAGATATTTTCCCTGGTGCCTTGGACTGGAGGATGTCGCATGCGATGTGGACGAAATTTTGTGGCCGGACCCAGAAAGACGACATTATGTAGGCTGATTGTTTTTTTGTTTTTTTGTGAAATTACTATTTTGTGTTCTGACTTTGTCAGTGTGAATAAACATCAATACTTGAAATTTGGATCCTTGTATGTTTACATGACACTATGACAAAAGTATGACCTCAAATTGACATCTGTACACAGAGAAAGGGAAAGCCAGATGTGTTTTGTATTCATACCATCAGTGTGTAGTTGGCACATTGTGTACTTAGTAGATGATGGTTTGTGTTTACTGTTTGATACGAAAACACCATTTTTACAAAGGTGTGAAGAGTTAATATAGCTGTGTTCACTTTTGCAAGAGAACTGCAATGTTTTGATAATTGGGTGAAAGGTTTTCTTATTTGTGTGTAGAGTTTTGCAAAAATAGCCAATAGTTACAAAAAATGTGCTTAAGCAATCAGAAAAAACTGTAAAATGTTACATGGATCAGACTATATCTTTAAAGATTCAGGGAGCTTAAATCTGTATAGATTTCCTCCAAACATTTGCACACTGCCTTGAAATGAAAACAAGTGTTTATAGTGCCAACAACACATGACCTGTAGATCTCACTGAGGTTTCAGACCTGGTGGACAGTGCACACAGCGATCCCACAGCCACGGCATATTTGGCCGGTCCCCAGCCGACGTACTCAAAGGCCACAGGCAGCGGGCTCTTCTCATTCAGCATGTAGTAAGGCATCATCAAGGTAAGGGCAGCAGACACCGCAAAGTAGGCCAGGAAGCAAATCAGAAGTGAAACCACAATGCCCACAGGGACAGATTTCTGAGGGTTCTTCACTTCCTCACCTAAAAAAAAAACAGGAAGAAACAAATGTTCATATTGATTTGAATAAAAATCAGTAAAATACGGAAGCTTCATGACGGCTGCAGCAATACCTATTTGCACTTATCTTCTGCAAATGAAACAGCTAACTCTGCAAAATGCTTTATAGTTTAAACATGTCATAAAGCCACTGTACAATCATGCAGGTCTACTAAACAATCCCCTAATTCACGTTATCACAGTTTTCATTACACAGTTTTGCTGATATATTTAACTACCCGGTTTGTTACCCTTTACAGCACCACTCAAGGTATCAGCAGTACAGATGGTAGTCGTAATACTTTGTTTTATTGTTTTGAATAGATCATTATCTGGTTTATTTGCTGTTTTTTATCCAAATGTTTGAATTAAATGATAATAAAAGGTCAAATCCTCCTCTTACCTGTTGTAGCAATGCAGTCAAACCCAACAAAGGCGTAGAAACATGTTGCAGCTCCAGCCAGGGTGCCGCTGAAGCCATAAGGAAAAAATCCTCCGACTCCATATATGCTTGTAACATTGACTGTGTCGCTCAGGTTGCTGCATGAACAGAAGGCAGAGTTTTATGTTCACTTACAGTCAGATAACCAGGGAGGCAATACTGCTCTTTTTACAGCCTAGTATTTTTGACTCTTCAATTATTTCTTTATTATTTATTCAAAGAGCCTCTGGGTTTTTGGAAGTGTTCTTTATCAATGCTCTTCATTATATTTATTCCCTTGGATTTTAGTTGCTCTCCTTTTATTTTTAATTGAAGATTTAATAATTTTTAGAGCAGAGTTGTTGTTTTACATAAGCTCAACATAAAAACTCATTTTAATTCAGATGTATTGTTTTTTGGGTTATCTTTTTGGTCACTACTAACTTGCCTAAAGACACAATTTGTGCTTTGTTTATTTTTATTGAATATTTAAAAAAGTATTTTTGCTCTGAAAAAAATTCTACTGGTTCTTTGGCTTTTTAAGTTAAAAAACAATTTAACTATCTGAATTTAAATGCAGGTCCAGTGTCATGTCTTTTTATTCGAAGTTACTCTTCCTGTTTAGCACCAAAAAAAAAAGTCAGACACGCTTTTTGTCCAATATGTTCCCTCTTTCTAATTTTTGCAAAAACAAACAATATGCTACTATGGTCGGGTAAAACAATCTGATTGAAAATTGGTGGAAAGAGTCTAAAAATACCTAAATAAGTGCAGATAGAGAACCTATGAGGAAAATGTTTGTCTGCTTTAGTACTTTACACCAAAACACACACAGACATTCATATTTTGTTATATTTATTATATTTTATCATTATATAAAGAAAACCCCAAAAATGTTTGAACTGTAAATCTACAGTCATATGTTTATATTACTGTTTTTATTTATTTATTTTTACTATTTCTCAAGGCTGCACTTTTAAAAAAGATGAAATTGTCCAGAGAGATGTTCTAAACAAAATTTCTTTTTGTTTTACACTTGTGTAAACAAAAGTCTAAGTCATGTACCAATCAACAGATTGTTAGACAACTTTAAGGTAAATGCCTTGCCAATGGGCACATCAACATGTGGCAGCAGGCAGTTGGAATTAAACTCAATTCTTTTGGGGATTTTTGTTGCTAAAAGGCTCATCCTGATGGACTGGAAATCAACCTCTCCTCCCTCCTTTCAAAGATGGCTGACTAATATGACCTCTGTCATACAAATGGAGAAACTCCGGTTTATGAGGGCTAATTCACCTGAAAAGTTCTCAGCTATTTGGGATCCATTTCTGACCCATCTGGATATGATCAGAACAAGGTGAGAGCCTCACCAGACCATTTACCTGGGACTTGGTTGAGACAATGTGTATATTCGGCTTATTTGTGACTGTCAGGTTTGTTATTCTTCCATTCATTTGCCTGTTGTAACCGTTTATTATTATTTATTTTTATGTCTGACCCTGATTGTTGATTGTTGTTTTTGTCTATTTCTACTGAAAATTGTAAAATAAAATATGTATATAAAAAAAACCTCAATTCTTTCAGATTGCAGGATGCCTACACTAACCAATAACCATAGTTTAGGAGTTAAATAATAGCGGACAAAGCAAATACATTGGAGCAAAAAAACTGAACATAACATTTAGATTCATGAATTGTAACATTTTCTTAAAATATTTAATGTATTTACAGAGCAAAATAAACTGAAGCACCTTGGTTGAAGTGCAGGGATTTGAAATGGTTTGAGATTTATGAAAGAAATGTAGACAAGGACTAACTGGCAAAGTTTGGATGGGGGCGAATAAAAAATGATTTATCTCAACCAGACACATTAAACATTACTTGTTTGTTAATTAGGTCTATAAATATTTTTTTTTTTTATAATCAAAGTTAAAATTTTTGGAGCTTTAACATTTGATATTAGTCATTCATAACCAAACACTGCTGAGTTTAGTCAAACTAAACTACAGCTGGACCTTACTGACCCAGGACTTTATTAGCAAAATAATGAAAATAGTTTTTGTTTTTTTTAACCCTGCGTTTTTTTTAGAGTAAAAGATCCGATTTGGAGGAGCCTCCAGATCCATGCTGGAATTCATTTGCATTTGGCTCTTACTTAAACTGCGCTGTGGCGTTTATCAAGTCGTCTTCACTGATCTGCCAGTTGGAGATGTTCCCTTTGATAAATCCAGAGATGATCACAAACAGCAGCACCAAGATGTTGATCGCCGTGAAGATCTTGTTGATGTTTGTCGACTCTTTCACGCCAAACGCCAGCACGCCTTCACGCAAAACAGATTTTTTTTTAAATATCTTTAAATGGATGTTTAATTTGCTTATATCAACTGAGCAACTTCAGTTTGTACCTGAGAGCAGCAGGACCAGACCAGCTGCAAAGACATCTGGATAAGGCGCCAATCCAGGGAGGCCCATGGCTGCATTTTTCTCAAAAAACTTGGAAATGACGCCTCCAATCAGGTCATCAAACGTCCCACTCCACGCCAGCGCAACACTTGATGTTCCTGAGCAGAAAAAAAGGCCATAAAATAATAATCCTGAGTCACCATTTTAGTGCTGTTGTAAATGGAAAACTTAGATGGGAACATTTCCTTCCAATAGTTCAGTTAAAGTCCTGTTGTCTAATCAGGTGGCAAAAAAATGATGTGCTTTTTCTGTAAGATAAGCTTTTAAGAATTTGCTTTTCAGGCAGTGAAGGGTCAAAGAGCAAAATCAGAGAGCTTCCCTGTTGATCATTTATCTGTTCTTAAGAATCACATTAAAAGAAATATCTGTTTTAAATTAGGAGTTAATTAGTCTTTATGAAAATCTAAAGTTTAACAATAATTAGAAGGGAGAGAATACTTGCCTATGACATAGGAGAGCAGCAGATTCCAGCCGGTGATAAAAGCCAGCAGCTCTCCAACAGTCACATAGCTGTAAAGGTAAGCTGAGCCCGTTTTGGGAACCCTGGATCCAAACTCTGCATAACACAGTCCGGCAAATATAGAAGCCAAGGCAGCGATGAAGAAGGAGATGATGATGCTTGGTCCTGAAGTGTCTCTGGCCACCTCTCCAGAAAGCACGTAGACCCCGGCTCCCAGGGTGCTCCCTACACCCAGGGCAATCAGATCCAGCGTGGTCAGGCATCGGTTAAAGGTTGACTCTTCGCCATCCGGCTCGATGGGCTTCCTCCGAGAGAGGCTCAACAAAAAGGACTTGACCACACCGCACGGCATGCTTCTGCCTGTTATTTGGACCAGGATGGAGAGGGGATTATATATGAAGCCACAGACAGGAGAGCAGGTTGATGTTGGGAAAGGAGAGGAACATTTGAGGAATACTGAGGGGAGATAAATCCCCTTATAGGAAGAGGAGATCAGAGGATATGTCAGTAAATGATTGTCAGCTCTTTCTATCTAGAAGCATCACTGATTTACTTGCATGATCTTTTTTAATGGAAAATGTTAAATTAATCTTAAAAAAATAAAAGCATCAAGAAGAAAACATGGAGAAAACAAGTAGATCCTTAACAGCAAACATAAAAGAGTAATTTAGAAAACAGCTCACTTACGTCTTTGTAGGTCTCTGTCTCACAGGTGTGCTCAGAGGACCCGACAGAATCCGTCATTCCCTTAAAACAATATATTTCTTTTATATGTGACCTCCTTTATCTGCAGAAGATATGATAGTGCTGATGCCTGGAGTTTTTCTTTGCTGTCCACAGGACCGAAAACAACGACCGTTCACCGATTGCCCTTTAATCAGTCATTGGTTATATACACTATTACTTCTCTGAGTGGCTTTGGGGGGGGGGGGGGGGGGGGGGGGGGGGTGTGCAGCCGTCTTGCAAAGTGGGCTCACTCCACTCATGCAACAATCACGTGAGAGATAGTGTAGCTTTTCAGAACACCATTTCCTGATCAATCACTGCTGAAATCAAATAAGGAAAGAAAAGCAAGCAGCAGAGTTAAAAAAAAAATTTTTTTTAGTGTTTTTATGTAAAATGCATTGGATCTGGAGTTAAAAAATTCAATAACAGCTCAGTCTGAGCATCACTGGGTTGAAAATATCAACAGAAATATGATTAATATCTTGGATCAGAATGTTTTTAGTTTTATTTTTCCACTTAATTATCCAGGAATAAACAAATGATCTAGAGATTAGATTCAATTCATTAAAAAAATATTTTCTCTCCTGTTTCCTGTTGGATATTCACAGTAAAACGGTTTAAGATCTGCAGCTTTGATTAGGTTCTGATGATAATGCATTCCAGCTAATTCAATACTTCAAGGTCCATATTTCTGTAAGACTTTGACGTTTCGCTCCCTGGAAAAGAACAAGAAAGCTGTGAAGGAACAGCACATTCCCAGCGTGTTCACTCCCCTTGATTAGATTTGCAAACCTACATTGTATCTTTCAATCATCTTGTTTGCTTCTTGCCTCTCAGGAGCCGTGCTTCCATCTCTAACCTAAAGAAACTTCTTTTTTCGTTTTTTTTTTCTGTGGAGGACAAAGCAGCTTTCATGGCTCATGTATGTGGCGCCTGCAGAGCTGCTCTCTAAGAGGTAGCATTTACCTTCTTGCCTCCTATCATGGGATTTCAGCTCACCTAATCCCTCCTGGCATCCGCTTCAACAGGCAGAAAGGAGGCGAGCAGGAAGGCAGCCGACGCAGATGGTCAAAGTACCTGTGACCGAATCTGCACTCAGGCCGGATCTCTCCAGCTGAGATACCGTTTTCAGAGAGACGAGGGGTAATGCTTAACTAAATAATAGCTGATCTGCACTTTTATGATCACAGGGTTAATCATGATCCCGTTGATCCTCAACTAATGTCCTCTAATGTAAAAGATATGGCTGCTTCTTGTGCATTAAAGGAAAATTAGATAAGATAAGAATTACCAGAAAAACATAATCATTTACAATGACGAAGTTTTAAATTTGACTTTCTTTACGTACTGTACATATAAGCTCTTTACCTTTATCTCAGATCCTAAGAGGAGAAACCAGTGCCCTGTGCTGTTGCGACATTGACAACACAAATATCCATGCTGATGCCTTGGATGAAGCAAATTGCTGCCATATATACAAGACTGGCCTGCGTGACCCTCCCACTCAACAGAGATACTCACAAAGTAGCCTTTGTGCTCATTATTGCATGAGGGCAGAGTGAGAACTGTGCACCGTAAACCGTTGGATAAATATGTATCTCGGATTTAATCACTTTAAGCCCTATTCATTGTGAAATAAACTTAACTTAAAGATGCAACAAAACAGATGTCTGAGGCAGTTTTAAGATTTCAAGACGAAGGTTTGTTTTTGATCTCGGTTATTATAATTTTTAATCAAATTACGTTTTGCCTTCTTCACATCTGGTAAATTTTCGAGTGCAGCGCAGTGTGAGAGCAGAAGAGGTCAGCAAACAACAAAAGCTTTTCTTCTCCATGCTTTCCTGCCTCAGTTAGTGTTTTCCTAAAATGGGCTTTTTTCTTTTACTCTAAAATAAATGATCAAGTAATTAAATACAATAAAATTGCAGAAAATATTTTATATCTTTTTTTATAACTTTACTTTTAGAAGCCACAAGAGAAAACAAAAGGCTAAATAATGTGTGGATAGTCTATGAGTTACATAATTCACCTCTGTTAACTTGTTGGGGTTTAATGTTTGGTAAAAAATGCAAATACTTTTCAATCAAAATGTAATTCTCCAGTGGAAAATCCATTTTTTTCAGATCTGTAGTTGAGAGGAAGCTACATCAGTGGCTTTGTTGCATTTTCCAACCCAAGTTGACCAATGTGAGGGGTCAGCTGTCATTACATGAGCAATACCTTTTGCAATTGGCTGCTAGACTTCCTCACAAACAGACCACAGTCAGTCCGGATTGGACAGAACTCCTCTGATGTCATCACCCTAAGCACAGGCTCCCCTCAGGGCTGTGTTCTGAGCCCCTTGCTGTTCACTATGACGTCAGACGACCGCGCCCCATGTCCACCACCAATTACATTGTGAAGTTTTCAGACGACATCACGGCGGTGGGCCCCATCAGAGACGACAACGACCAGGAGGAGGACTACTGAGAGGAGGTGGAGCAGCTGGTGGGCTGGTGCAGAGATAACAGACTGATCCTGAATGCGGAGAAGACGAAGGAGATCATCATCATTGACTATTAAAAAGAAAAATTGCCTTCACCACGCTCCACTGCTCATCAACAGCTCAGCTGTAGAGGTGGTCAGCAGCACCAAATTCCTGGGAGTGCACCTCCCAGACCACCTGGTGGGACCACTTGCCCCACCCATCCTCACGACCTTCTACAGAAGCACCATAGAGAGTGTTCTGACCAGCTGTCTCACTGTGTGGTGTGAAGGCTGCAGCACCTCAGACTGGAAGAAAGTGAAGAACAGCAAAGAGGATCATCGGGGCTCGTCTTCCCTTAATTAAGGACATTTCATCCCAGCGCTGTGTGTTCCGAGTCCGTAACATCATCAATGTCCCCTCACACCCCCACCATGAACTGTTCTCCCAGCTGCCCTCTGGGAGAATTCTCCGCAGCATACACTGCCGTCCAGCAGGTTCTGCAACAGCTTCTTTCCTGCTGCCATCAGACCAAGGGTGTAACTTTGTGAGGAAAGTTGGTGGGGACAGACACTCTTGGGGTGCTGGATGATTACTTCACAAAAACGCTTTCAAAAGGGTTTATATTTTCCAAAAATTTGCTCAAAAATGTATTTATTGAATGCTTTCCTATTGTTGAGAACACAAAATCATGAAAATACACTGATATTTTATTTATAGATAGTTAGACATTAATGTATAAGAAAAGGATGAATAACAGCCTATTCCAATGCCAACAGCAATATATCATTCCTCCATAGTATGCACACAATTTCAGTTTCATTCATCCATCAATCAATCCATCCAGAAAAATGTGGATTGATGGATGGATGTTTTCCCTTTCAGCTACATTAGTGAATATCCTCCTTGAAACACAGCAAAATCAAATTTAGAATTTGTCTCACATATTGCCAAACTCTATGTATTGAAATTATTGTGGGGACATGTCCACACCAGTCCTTCAGAAAGTTACGCCTGTGCATCAGACAGCTGAACTGTTACAATTCCAATCCAGACTTTGCATCACTACCAACATGGCTGATTTTTCATAATCCCTTTCAAGAGAACACAACCCAATTATCCACTGCATTTTGCAACACATTTATTTATTTGCATTGCACTGAACCGTTCCATATTAATGCATTTTGAACCATGACTTTAAACTGTTTTCCTTTTTCTCCCACACTGTTTACATTCTGATCAATACTGCACTTTTTTTTAAATAAATGGTAATGTTCATTTCACTGTTGAAAAGCTATACTCATCAAATTTTTGTTTTGTACACGCTAAAGTTAGTCTAAGTCTTTTTTTTGTGTATTTTCTGTGAAACTAGAGGATGCTTTATCACTGTCTCATCATACCCAATAAATGTGATGAATAAATTATGCTGCTTTCTTTTTATATCATAAAATTTCCCTTTGGGGTCAATAAACATAATTAGTCCATTTTAGTTGTGTTTTCCTATCTGTTTTTTCAATCTTTACTTGTTTTTATTTATTTACTTTCCTTCCATTTTACTGTTTAATTCATGTAAAGCACTTTGAATTATTTGTTTACAGAGTTGTGCAATACAAATAAACTTATTTTTCCTAAATCATTTTTGGAGTGAATTGAATTGAATGCTCAGCCTTCAAGATTTATTGAAGAACTAAGTGTAAAATATATTTGTGAACTTTTTACCTGCTGTATTTTTACATGTTATTACATTTGCGGTGCTGTAATATGTAACTATACCGTGTTTATATTTCTGTGGTAGCATTAAAGCAGAATCACAGTGGATGTTTTCAGACAAAAACAAGCAAAATTTTTAAAAATCTTTAGACAACTAGACTGTGTGTCTAAAGATCCATGTCAAATATAGAAAAAAAATACCATTATGGTGTACATGGCAATTTATATTTCATACAAAGATAAATTAGACATTTAAGTGGTTTTTGACAAAAATACAGTAGCCTAATGATTATACTTAGATAGATTTATTTTGTCATTTTGTATACACAAGTGTATACAAAAGGAAATTTTGTTTAAAACAGCTCAAGACAATTTCATTTTTTAAAGTGCAGCCTTGAAAACAGTAAAAAAAAAAGTTGCCATGGCAGTGCTCCAAAGCAGCGGCGAAGAACAGCTTCTCTTTGTCATAGTTCTGGTTCTGTTATGTTTTTTTTTTGAGTCCTCAGTTTTACTTTGCTCTATGTTTTCTGGTTTTAGTGGTTTAATTCTTATTTTGTTGTGTTGTCTGGTTATTTTTCAGTTACTGTCACAGTCTTGGTTCAGTTATGTTTTCTTTTGAGTCCTCAGTTTTACTTTGCTCCATGTTTTCAAGTTTTAATGGTTTAATTCTTATTTTGTTGTGTTTTCTGGTTATTTTCAGGTTTTTATTTGTTGCCCTCTGCTGCCCTCTTGTGTTCTCCTTTTTTCTCTAGCTTTTTTCCTGTCTGCTCTGTCCACACCTGCTCCCAATCTGCTCATTAATCCTCTCTTTGTTTCAGTCTCCCATAAATACACCCTCTGTTCAGTTCCTCAGTGCTGGTTCCCCGTCTAACTTACTTCCTGCAAATCCGTCTCTCTGAGTTTTCCTCCTCGTGATAGTACACCCCCCCCCCCCCACCCCCCCAACGCCTCCATGGTTTCTGGTTAGTTTGACTTTGTTTTCATGTTTGATTTTTTGGGGATTTTGGATTCCTGCCTCAGTTGATT